CTAGCTCTGAAAATAGCAGCATGAAAAAGCCTAAAGCTTGGGACAGTGCCTTGCCACCCTGAATTGGGCAGATACCCACTTTAACATAAAATTCAGTCAAGAAATAAGTTGGAAAAATGAGCAAAAAAAAAAAGAGCTTAACAATAAAAAGCTACCAGGATGGCAAGGAAGACCTCAGAAGAAGACAATATGAAAACAACTACAAACAAAACCTCAAAGGAAAAAATGCTAGTTGGAAACAAGAACAACAAGAATTCCTGGAAGTGATAAAGAAAGAGATAAAGATGGAAGAGGAAAACTAGAAAAAGAAATAATGGTGTGGAAGAAAATTATGAAAAGAGATTTAACACTTAGATATTAGAGGCACAAAAGTACTGAAGAAAATAATACCTTAGAAAAGTGAATGGGCCAAATGGAAAAGGAGATACAAAAATTCACTAGGGAAAATACTTACTTTAAAAATTAGAATTGGGGAAGTGGAAGTTAATTACTCTGTGAGAGATTAAGGAACAATAAATAAAAGTCATTCTGCAGAATAATTTGTAACTATGCTCAAAGGACTATAAAATTGCATACCCTTTATCTCAGCAATAGCACTACTAAGTCTGTATAACAGAGAGATAAAAGAAAAATAACCTATATGTACAAAAAATATTTATAGCAGCATTTTTGCGGTGGCAAAGAATTCAAAATTGAGGAGATGCCCATTAGTTGTGGAATGGCTGAACAAGTTGTAGTATATATTGTAATAGAGCACTATTATGCTATAAGAAATGACAAAGGGGGGCTATAAAACTGTGCATACCCTTTGACCAAACTACCAGGTCTTTATCCCAAATAAATCATTAAAAAATGGGAAAGGAACCACATATACAAAAATATTTATAGCAGCTCTTTTTTGTGGTGGCAAAGAATTAGAAATTGAGGGGATGCCTATCAGCTGGGGAATGAGTGAACAAGTTGTGGTATATGATGACTGTGATGGAATACTATTGTGCTATAAGAAATGATAAGCAGGCAGATTTCAGCAAAACCTAGAGAGACTTACATGAACTGATGCTGAGTGAGGTGAGCAGAACCAGGAGAACATTGTACACAATAACAGACACATTGTGTGATGACTAATTTAGATAGACTTAGCTCTCCTTAGCAATAAAATGATACAAAACGATTCCAAGAGACTCATGACAGAAAATGCTATCCACATCCAGAGAAAGAATTATGGAGTCTGAATGTAGATTGAAGCATACTATTTTTTTTTTCTTTCTCTTGGTTTTTCCTTTTTGTTCTCATTCTTCTTTCACATGACTAATGTGGAAATATGTTTAACATGATGGTACATGTACAACCTATATTAGATTGCTTGCTGTCTTAGGGAGGGGGAGGGAAAGAAAAGAGAGAGAAAAATTTGTAACTCAAAATCTTACAAAAATAAATGTTGAAAACCATCTCTACATGTAAGTGGAAAAAATAAAATACTATTAAATGGAAAATAATAAAATAAATAAAAAATTAATTAATTAATTTTTTAAAAAAGAAATGAGAAAAGGAATGGTTTCAGAAAAATCTGGGAAGACCTATATGACCTGATAAAAAGCAAAGTGATAAGAACCAGGAGACCATTTTACATAGTAATAGCAATATTATAGGGTTGATCAACTATGAGAGACTTAGCTACTCTGATTGATATAATGATACAAGACAACTTGGAAAGATTTATGATGAAAATTTTGCTATCTATCTCCAGAGAGAATTGGTGAATTCTGAGTACTAATTTTGCCACTTTATTTTTATTGCTTTTATTTACAACATGGCTAATATAGAAATATGTTTTGCCTGATTTATCATGTATAATGGGTGTCATATTGCCTGTCTTCTGGATGTATGAAGGAGGGGCTGAAGGGAGAGAGAGAATTTGGAACTTGAAATTTTAAAAAAGTAAAAAAAATTTTTTTTTAATTTTAAAAGGCCATTCACAATAGATAATTCCATTTTCTCTCTTTCTACTCTTTTTTTAACCCCTTACAATATGGTTTCTGATTTTATCATTCCACTGAAACTGATCTCTTCAAAGTTACCAATGTTCTCTTAGTTGCCAAATCCAATGACCTTTCCTCAGTCTGCATTACCTTTAACTGCTCTGTAGCCTTTGACACTATTGACCACCCTCTCTTCTTTGATACTCTTGTCTCTCAAGGTTTCCAGGAGTCTGATTGCTCTTTCTCTGTCTCTTCATCATTCAAATCATTTCCCTCTAGCTATAGGTGTCTTTCGTGGTTCTGTCCTGGACCCCCTTCTCCCTCTGTACTACTTTCTTGGTGATCTCATCAGCTCCCATGGACTTAATTACCATCTGTACGCTCATGAATATCAAATATACCTATCTTGCCCCAAATTCTCTGCTGACCTCAAATCTCACATCTCTTATTACCTTTTAGAATCTCAAATTGGATTTCTTAAATTCAACATTCCAAAAGAGAACTCATTCCTCCTTCCCCTAAATTTTCTTACTGCTATCTTTCCTATTACTACAGAGGGCAATAAATTTTTCCCAATCCCTCAGGTTCACAACCAAGGTGTCATCCTTGAATTCTTCAGTCTTTACTATCTCTCATATCCAATATGTTTCCAAGACCTGGCCATTTCACCTGTACAACATCTTTCATATACTTCTCCTTCAATGTCTTGACACTGGCACTCCTCTGGTAAAAGCCCTTATCATCTCATTCCTGGACAACTGAAAAAGCCTACTGGTGGGTGTACTAGCCTCAAGTCTCTCCCCACTCCAATCCATCCTCTAGTGAGCCACCAAAGTGGTTTTCTTAAAATGCAGGTGCAACCATGCCACCACCCCTCCCCCCAATAAATTACAGTGATTCCCGATTGCCTCCAAATCAAATACAAATTGCTTTGTTTGGCTTCTAAAGACCTTCATAACCTAGTCCCTTTCTACCTTTCCAGTCTTTTTTAGGCATTACTTGTGGCCATGTGACAAATAAGACACATTAGCTCTCAGATCTGGACATTTTCTCTGGCTCTTCCACATATCTGGAATGTTATCTTTCCTCAACTCTGCCTATTAACTTCCCTGGCTTTCTTTAAGTTCCAACTAAAATTCCATGTTTTACAGGAAGCTTTTCCCAATATCTCTTAATTATAGTGCCTTCCCTCTCTTAATTATTTCCTATTTGTCCTGTACATAGCTTGCTTTGTGCATAGTTGTTTGCACATTGTTTCCCCCATTAGATTGTAAGGGCAGAGACTCTCTTTTGCCTCTTTTTTTGTATCCTTAGAGCTTAGTACCATATCTGGTAAATAGTAAGCAGTTAATAAATGTTGATTTTTAGATCCAGTAATTGAGATCTAAGCCTAAAATGGTGCTAGGAATAGGAGAGATCACTAGGACAATCAACCTTAGAAAATCAGAATAAGTCTCATTATTGGCTCAGAGCTATATATATGAGAGAAGTGCTTTTCTTGTGTATTCCATAATCTGCTCATATACCCTAAAAGTTTGCTGGCCAATTTCTCTGTTTAGCTTTATACATGAAGGAGAGTGAAATTTGTTCCATGAAAGAATTTTTAAATAGTCCATAAATCACTACCAGGTATTCTTGGGTTTATGTACATATTTAGTAAATAACTTTAGTCAGATGCAAAACCAAAGCTCTCTGAGAAACTATGAACGCAATTTTTCTAAAGGTTAGATTGGAGTATGTTAACCCCACTAATGAATGAGTTCAGGTATCTTCCTATTACCTCTAGAATCACACATGAGTTTCTCTGTTGGCCATTAAAGCTTTTTTATAGCACAACCCCTTCAAACTTTTCCAATTTGTTTATACTTTACTCATCTCTACACACTATGTAACCTAGCTACATTGGCCTACTTATAGTTCCTCAAATATGACAGCCCATCTCCCATCTCCAACCTACATCTGACTGTTCCTCATACCTGAAATTCGTTCCCTCTTTGCCTCTTAGCTCCCTTAGTTTCCATCAAGATTCAGCTCAATTCTCTTCCACATGAGGCCTTACTCAGCGCTTTTTTTTCTCCCATTTCCTCTGAGTGTGCCTTATATATGCCTAATTATTTCCATGTTGTCTACCCCATTAGAAAGTAATCCCCTTAAACACAGTGGCAGGTTTTTTTTCTATTTTTATTTGTATTCCTAAGGCTTAACACAGTACTTAGCACATGTAAGCTTTGTTAACTGAATGACTGGCTGAAATTGTGCGTGCTGTATTATTGGGCAGGCTAGATTTTCTCAGAGGTGAGGTGCCAGAAAAGAAACATGTTCCTTCAATCAATATGAAGAAGAATGACTAAGTGGATGTTTATTCCTTGGTATCAACTTACTTGGAATGTGTGTGTGTGTGTGTGTGTGTGTGTGTGTGTGTGTATGTGTGTAATTCATTACCTTGTATTGCTCTCAGGACAGAAGAGACTATCCTATGAGGTCATAGCTATTTTCACTGACCATTATCAAATTTGAAACAGTGTCTTGGAATAAAAATTGAATATGGTTCTGCTCACATTTTTCTATCTATACTCATCAATATGGCTTCCTTAGGTCATTGGATTATTTTTTTTCTGGACAGAATGGATGTAAAGTAAAAAATATTGTTTAATTTATCAAGAAACTTCAAGTATTTGTTAATTTAATGATTTTTAGCCAGACCTGTGATTTTCCACTGATGATATAGATTAGAAATTCATCTATAACTTAAATGTATATGGTCCTATAGTTGCTAGGAACACTGGGTGGTTAAGTGTCTTACCTAGGTTCATGCAGTTAGTACATGCCAGACTTCAAAGCAGTTATTCTTATCTCTTCTAATACCATGATGTCTCTCTTGTTAATGTCTTACTCAACTGGTATTGGGTTATAATTAATAAGTTTTCTCTTTCATCTTAGGAAAAACATATTTGCCAAAGAAATGAGAGAGAATATATAAGAAAGAAAGACTAGCAAAAATTTCTTTTTCTATGCCAGGATGTTAGTTTTTTATTAGGAAAGAGAAGGACAATAAGACAAGGGAGTCACTGTAAGAGGAAATCAAGGAAAGAAAATTACATCATTGGAATCCTACATCCCAGGCCTTAGGGTGAGATAATTGTTTTTTAGTAAACAGAACAGGAAACCTGCTTTTCATTAAGAGGGTTATAGTTTTTGATGAATTCCAAGAGTAAAATCATGAAATTTCATGTATTTTGTGAGTTTCTAGGCAGACGAATTTGGAATAAATTCCATATTGGTTCCTATGAGGAGAAAAGAGACCAAAAGAGGAGATAGTTGTGATGGAGGCCAGAAGCTGGAAAAGCAACTGGGTTTGAGGTTTCCAAATTGGGGTGACAGGACTCAGCTCATCAATGAGGTTTGTTGATACTGATAAATACAAGGAAAGGAATTCTTGCTTCTCTTGGAGAAAGTGGTAATGGTGAGCAGATGTGGACAGATTTCAACACTCAGCAGCAGGAGGAGCCACAGCAGGCTGGACGGCAGCAAGTAGTTCTGCAGCAGGTGGTCTGGCAGCACGTGGGGCGGCAGCAGGGCTGGCAGCAGCTGGACCCACAGTAGCTGGGGAGGCAGCAGGGCTGGCAGCAGCTAGAAATACAACAGCTGGGGCGGCAGCAGGGCTGGCAGCAGCTGGGGCGGCAGCAGGTGGTTCTGCAGCAGGTGATCTGGCAGCAAGTGGGGTGGCAACAGGGCTGGCAGCAGCTGGACCCACAGCAGCTGGGGTGACAGCAGGTGGACACAATGCAGGTGGGCCTGTAAGAGTTGGTCCTGCAGCAGGTGCTCTGGTAGCAGGGAGGCCGGAAGCAGCAGCCAATCCGGCAGCAGCAGGGGGCACAGCAGCCAGAGCCACAGCTCTGGCCAGAGCAGGTGGAGCCACAACAGGAGCTGACCATGGTGTTGGTGGATTGAGCTTCTGGGTTTCTTTCAAGGTGGATGAGTGACTTGAATTTGAAAGTCTCCTGCCCTCAAGGGCATCTTATATACCATCTTGAGTGATGGTTACCACCAGTAAGAGCTTATTTCCTTGTTATTGTTTAGCAAGATGGAAAAAAATAAAGTTCTAAATGAAGCAGTGGTATTTTTCTGGTTTTGTTCCAAAGCAGATGGCAAAAGTATTTCCTTACTTCATACATTAGCAATTATCCAATCTGCTCATCTGAGTTTATTCATTTTGCTTCTTCCTCAATTTTGAAGACAACTGTCACGAGTCATGTGATAGTAAGACAAGAGGCCTTCCATGTGTCACTTTCTCCTGTCTAGGTGTTACATCTGCACTTTACTTTGAAAATGGTCATCCTAGGGAAAAGATCACTTTTGGTGCCCCATGAAACAAAAGATTATTTCAGAAAAGTAGAATGAAGTTTCAGGAAGGGAAGAAAAATAATCACTTACGAGTAATGAGGAAGACTGTGGTACTAAGTGTGAGCTGATGGATAGACGAAATGAGGAAATGAAGATTACTTAGAGTAGCCCAAACTGTGTGTCACATCATACTTCCATAACACACTATCTTGAAAACTTTGGGAAAGTCTTCATATTTTAAGGACTTAAAATCTGCAGGGTTTTTTTCCTTTCTAGAACTGCTTGCATTGCAGTGACCCTTATGATATCAGCATCCATCTGAGAGCTCTAAGGTCAACTAAGGTCAACTGGCTTCCTGGAGCATTATATTTATATGCAGTGACATTTCAGAGGACCTGGAATCAATTCATAATACTTTCACTTGCTACCTGTGTAATTTTAGTTAAGTCACTTCACAGGAGAGGCAAGTCAGTATGGTTGTCCTTCATTCTCAAAGAGGACCAAAATGACATCATTATATTAGAGTCAAGTTACAATGTGTCTGACTGTGGGTCATCAGACCAATACAAGCTTGGAATGCTCTACTACAGTTCAGGCACAAATAATACATGTGAATATTTGGGGTGGATTCTCTAAATTCGCGCATTTTGTGTTTCTTTTGAGCTACTTCAATTCTGCTTTGCTCATAGAGCACAATGCCTTCTCTGATAAGGGCACCCCAGGCTAAACAGTCTTATATGAGGGTCTCCCATGTCACAAAATCAATTCCAAAGTTCTTAAGAAAGACCTTGAGAGTGTCCTTGTATTGCTTCTTCTGACCACCATGTGAGTATTTGCCCTGTGAGAGTTCTCCATAAAATAATCTTTTTGGCAAGCATACATTTGGCATTTGAACAATGTGGCCAGATGATCGTAGTTGTGCTCTCTGTAGTAAAGTTTGAATGCTTGGCTTTAGTTTGAGAAAGGACCTCAGTGTCTGGTATTTTATGTTGCCAGGTGATCTTCAGGACCTTCCTAAGACAATTCAAATGGAAGTGATTCAGCTTCCTTGCATGGTGCTGGTATACTGTCCAGGTTTCACAGGCATACAACAACTGAACTAGTACAATGTCTCTATAGATTTTCAATTCAGTAGTCAGTCTAATACCTCTTCTCTCCCACATTTTCCTTCTGAGTCTCCTTAATAGGCTGATCTTTCACCTGGAAGATGGGCATGTACTTGAGAATCAATGTGGCTTCAGAAAGGGCCAAGGAACAATTGATATGATGTTTGCTGCCCAGCAACTCTAGGAGAAATGTCAAGACCAGCATAGAGGTCTATACACAACATTTGTAGATCTGACCAAGACTTTGACACAGTCAGTCATGAGGGCTTATAGAAAATCATGTCAAAATTAGGTTGCCCAGAGAAGTTTATCAGTATTGTATGCCAATTTCACAACGCCACGTTTGTCCAGGTTCTGGATAGTGGATGATGCTCTAGTGCTTATCCAGTCACCAATGGAGTGAAAGAAGGTTATGTGCTCACTCTCATTCTTTTTAGCATGATGTTTTCAGCCATGTTGGCAAATACCTTCAGTGAGGATGAACGTGGTATCAAGGTCAGCTACCACACTGATGGTAAATTCTTCAACTTGAAAAGTCTACAAGCCAAGACCAAAGTGGAGGACATGTTGGTGCATGAGTTTCATTGTGCACTCAGTGAAACCTCTGAAGATGAGATACAACAATGTATGGATTGTTTCTCTGCTGCTTGTGCTAGTTTTGGTCTAACAATTAACACCAAGAAAACACAGGTACTCCATCAGCTAGCATCACATCATCCATATGTGAAACCATTAGTTACAGCAAATGGAGAAGTTTTGAATGCTGTGGATAAGTTCTCTGCCTTTGGCAGTGTGCTTTCTAGGGATGTACACATTGATAATGAGATTGATACACACATTTCTAGAGCTGGCAAGTTGGTATACTGGGTCATGAAGACCTAGGTTGAAACCCAGCATATACTCATCTACATTGTATGACTCAGAGCAAGTTTCTTTGCCTCTCTTTGCCTCCATTTCCTCATTTTTATAGTGAAAGGTGGCTGAATTTGACAGTATAAGGTCCCTTTCACCTCTTAACCCATGATCCTAAGGCCTTTCTATGTCTCAGGTCTTCACTGTAAAATGGAGTTGGACTAAATGACCTCCCATGTCCCTCCAACTCTAAAAACATGTTCTTAGTAGAAAATATTATACTTTGGGGTTCATATTTGAAAGATTGTTGATCTTCTTCAAGGCTTTGAGTCAAATAGTGGGCTTTTGTGAATTATAGACTCAATATGAGTGAGCAGTGTGATATGGCAGCTAAAAGACGAAAAAAGTCAGATTGCTTCAACTTGTCCTCACATGGCATGGACTCATGCTCCTTCCCCATCCTAGTCTTTCTCCTCTATGTACTCTCCACCTTATCTATAGAAACAGAAGGGCATGGACCAAGTCAGTTTCCATTGTGTGCTTCTATAACATATGTGTAGTAGTCTAATAAACATGTACTTTAGTCTAATATTGGCTACCTAAATGTTCACATTACTTCACTTTTTTCATTTATTGCCTACCCCATTGTTTTACTGTCCATTTGCCTCAGTCTGGAAAACTGGAAAACCCAAGCTTCTTTCAGAGTCAGTTAGACACATTGGGATGCAATACTCTGAGAAAGATTGTACTTAATTCTTGTACCTGTCAGAGAACCAGGTTTAACAACTATCCACATACATGAAAAGAGTCTATGGTTTCTGCCATGAAGGCCCCAGGTTCTCTCCTTTTGGTATCATGCAGTGACATCCATGTCTTCTCCTAATGTCACATATCCTCAAAGAGAGAAAATTGATTCTTCCTAAAAGTCACCACAATGTAGCTTCTCTTAAGGATCCGTTACCCCTTAGCAATTCCACCTCTTATAATTCACTTAATATCATGGACAACAGATAGAATTCTAATTCATCTCATTAGACCTGTCTTGATTATTGACCTAAGGAACTGATTTTGGTCTCTATCTATTTCCTGATTTGATTATCAGCCAGTCAATTAACATTTATTAAGCAACTAATATGTTCTGGGCTCTGCGCTAAGTGCTGGAAATACAAAAAAAGAGGCAAAAGATTGTCACTGCCATGAAAGAGGTCACAATCCAATGGAGGAGACAAAAAGCAATCAAAGAAGCTATATGCAGGATAAATAGGAAACAATTAAAAGAGAGAAGAAACTAGAATTAAGAGAGTATGGGATAGGTATCTTATAGAAGAGAGAATTTTATTTGGGACTTGAATAAATCCAGAGAATCCAGGAGGCAGAGATGAGGAAGGAGAGCATTCCAGAAGTGAGGGTGAGTGGGAGAAAATGCCCAAAGCCAAGAAATGGAGTGATAGTGAATCTCTGTCAAGAGTGCTATTGGGGATAAAGCACATTTCAATTGAGTTTCAAAGGAAAGGGATACATTTAAATAATGGGAAACTGGGTAAAATACCTAAAAATGATACTTCTGCATATGCAGCTTCAGCCAAAAATGGGTTTCCTTTATTTCTACTCCTGGTTCTTTTAGGGCTCTTTTGTATCCCAAAGTCCTTCTTATATAACATTGTCACTAGCAGTATGACTTTGGGCAAATCATATGCCCTCTCTGGGCCTTACCTATACAATGAATAGTTTGGATTGGATGACCTTTGATGATCTTTCCAGTTCTAAGTGAAACTGATGGTATATGGTGGTCCCCTGCTGACCAAATACTAAATTTCTTACACTGAAATGTTTAATTATAAAACTCAAATGAAATAGAAAATAAATCACATTCCAATAACTCACCTCCATCATTATTCAGCTTCCTGGAGGAGAAGCAGAAAGGAGAACAGGAAAAACTTTGTTTTAGGCTTTACATTGCTGGAAAACAGCCCCAATGACATTTCATTTAAAGGTAATGAGGCTTATTTGGGAGAATCCTGTGACTTTAGTAGATCAGGGTCTTTGTAAGATTTGAGCTTAGATCCTAGCGCTGCTGCTGGAGGAAAGGTAAAGGAACTCTCAAAAAAAATACATACTTAGCTTTAGCTCATCTAACTATGGTCCTCCACTCCCATTGTACTTAAGCCTAGAAGAGAGTAGTAAGAGTTAGAATCTAGGATAGGTTCTCTTATTGGTATTCTGTCTGGGTCACCTTTTGCAGTTCAGTTTACTGGCAACCTCCCAGCCCTGGAGTTTACTATTTTACCACCACCACAGCAGAGACAACCTACAACTGTAGGAGGTTTGTGGGGAATGGTGGTTTCTTCTTGATCACAAGTTGCTGTGTGTGCATGCCACATGGGATGATCAGCCTGTGTGTGTATCATGTGATTCCAAGTTCACAGCAAGTAGCTTCCAGAAATTAGGGTCAGATGAATTTGGTCAATTCTCCACCCCTACACCCATGGGGAATGAGTAAGGAGGAGGAGGAAGAGTTGTTGGAGTGGGGAAAAGTTCCTTCTTGTTCATCTAAAGTAAAGAGATGGGAAAACAAATGCTTCACAACTTCTGGAGGTAGTCAAAGAGTTTCCTGTACTTTATAGGTAGGTTTTATAAATCTTGATAGTAGATCAAATCCATTCCCTGTCTCC